ATTTAAAATACTTACTTTGGGGAGGGGAGTATGTTCACAGGGAAAGTGCTTGCTGTGCAGGCATGAGGACCTGAACCCAGATCCTTAGCGCCCACATAAAAGGGTGTGATTTGTAGTGTGAGCCTCTCATCCCAGAAAGAGAGGACCCCAGGGGTTTGCAGGCCAGCCAGTCTAGCTAATCAGTGGGATACAGGTGTAATGAAAGGGTCTGTCTCAATAAATAAGGAGACCAATAAAGAAGGCGCTTAGTGCTCACCTCTGCCCTATACATGCACAGGCACAGATGAGCACACCCACACCACATATGTGCATACGTGCATATATCATACACATACACATACACACACCACAATAATATAATAATAAATAATCTATTTGTTTTTAAATTTTGTGAAACTTGCTTTTCAGGTAACTAATACAGATTATAGTTTTAAAACAAAACTTTATTGATCTTGAAAAGATCTTCAGGCAACGTAGCCATTGAGTTCTTGAGTACAGTGATCTTATCATGTCCAAAAGACTTTGTTTCAGCCTGGTCCTCCCTTGCCTCTGACTCTTATAATATTTCCCTGGTTCTGCAATGATTCTTGAGCCTCATAGAGGAGGTAATGTGATATAGATGGCCCATCTGTGGCTGAGCACTCAACAGACACTTCTTTTCTCCACTTTGACAGTTGGGAGTTTCTTTGTCAACCACCACCCACTTCACAAAGAAACTTCTCTAATGAGGTCTCAGATATGCATGAATCTATGGGTTTAGAGATACAAATTTAGAGGATTGTATGAGACTCAGCTGCTGCTGATGGCTGAGTGATGAAACAGTGACCAGATGTAACAAAGATGGGAGGGGCTGAGGGAAGCATTAAGTGACCATTTGAGGGCCAAATCATTCGGGACATGCTCTCCCCGAGCAAAGGTAGAGAATCCTGTTCCTCACAGCTCTGTCCTCGGAACCTCTGTAAGAAAGATAAGTCTTGAGCCTGAAGCTCCTCGTAACAGACAGCTGAACTAACTATAGTCTGAGGAGCTCTCAGAAGAGTAGCAGAGAGGGGACGTGGACTCAGAAGTCTATTAAACCTTTCCTGAAAAGTCCCAATAGAAGTATTGTCTCCTGATTCTTCAGCCTAGAGCTCTTGCCTGATCCCACCAAGTGCCCCTACCTAGCCATATCTGCTGGGTCTGGTAGACATCCCCGAGGAGACAAGTGGGCAGGGAACTCCAGTCTCTGCTGATCTTTTTATGCCTCAGGAGGAAAGAGCTGAACCATCATGAAACTTGCTTTTTATTTGGCCATCCTAGCTGGTACGTATTTAAGACTTTCTACTCTGCCCATTAGACTCTGAGCTAATGTCAAACGTGGTGAGGCAATGTGAATGTGTGACTGACACAGGGGCATCAAGAAATACTCTGAGTAGACTGGGGTCTCCACATTTAGACTCTACTCAAAGATTAGCGCAGTCTCTCCCAAGTGTTAAGCTCTTGGATAGGTTATGGGACATACCTGCCTTGGGAAGTCCTCAACAGTGAGTGTTCCTCTGGGTTATTGTAAACGACGGGCCTCATTACCCTCTGGAAAAGGTACGATCACAGGAACAGAGAATCCTGTTTGACTTGGGATCTCTTCTCTTCCCCATAACTTTGGAGTGCAGAGAATGTAAAGGCAGGAACAAAAGGCTTGGTACTGCTTTCATGAACTTTGAAGAATTTCCCACCACCCCCTAACTACCATGACCATGTCACATACTGGCTGAGTGGAGGCTGGGCAAGCTAATTAATCCAGCCCCTAATATAGAGCTCAAAATATCTTGCCCTTATCAATAACCTATCCGCTTCGCTTTGAAGTTTGGATGAGGTATAGGCCCAGATGTGGGAGGGTCAGCAGAAGTACCAGTAAGAGCCAAGAAAAGAGCACCAGAGTCAGCCTTCCTCTCTTTTATACTCCACTGCTAATTTTTACAATATTTTATTAAAAACATGTGTTTGTGTTATAAAATTTGGAAATTTTACAGGTAGGAAAAATAATCGCACTTCTCAGTCAACTCATACTGAATTTACTTCAAGTTATTTTCTGCATTTAATTTGCTTCTTTTTGGTTTTGTTTTTAGACAACTGAAATTGTATGTGTACCACTGGATAGAATTGTAGCATAAGTACACATAATTTCTAATTCAAATGTCACTACTATCATTTTTGATGTGTTCTACTTGCTTAAATGTTTCTTTTTCTCAATATTGAACAAGACATATTAGATATTTATCCTTCCAATGTTCAACTATTATAAGTATTGTTAAAGATGAGTATGCTTATTAAGCATCTTTGCCTACATCTGATTATGTCTTTAAAATGAATTCCTATTGTTTGAATTCTCAAGTCACAAATTATGAACAAGTTACAATTTGTAATCCTTATTTCTAAATTGCTTTCCCAGAAAATAATATGAATTTATAAGTAATAAATTTATCTTTCTTATTATATCCTTTAGTAGAAAAAAATATTACCAATATCATCATCACTATGTCTTACATTAAGTATGTCACTTTAATTTACATCTTTATTAGAAAAATACTCTCCAGCCAATTGACTACTTCTTTAAAATTATGCGCATCCCTTTTCTGCTGGGAAGATGTGAAAGTCTCATTTACTCTGATGCTTACGTGTTATTGCTTTCTCAGGGACAGTTTTCTTCACTCACTCAACTGTGCAGAAAGAGGACTATGCTCCTTATATAGCCTACCTCAAGTCTAACTTCAACCCCTGTGTGGGTGTCCTCATCAAGGCTAGCTGGGTACTGGCTCCATCTCACTGCTATTTACCGTGAGTACTGAGCATCCCCTCCCCAAATGATTTCTACCCATCCTAGATCAGTGAGTCTCAAGTAGGGACAACTTTCCCCTAGGATATAGAAAAGTCTGAAGGTACCTTGGGTTTTCACAATCAGGAAACAGGGCTACTAGCGTGTAGTGGGACTTGCTCTAGCAGGATCCTGCTGGAGTTCCTGTAGAACACACGTCACCACCACGTAGACTCTCTGTTGCTGTTGAAAGACTCGTTCGTCTTTGTGCTGTAGTTTCTCCCCACCCACCCCGGTGCCCCATTACTATTTCTTACTGGAAGTAATTACATTTAATCAATTAGGGGTTCAGCGGGTAACTCAAATTTGTAAACTGAGTAAATTGAGAAAATTAAAAAAAAAAAAAGAAAGAAACTCATTGTAAAGAGATGGTTCATGTCCCACAGAAGAGGTATTAAGGAAATACAGTGACCATCTTTTTGCCTAAAAGGAAAGAATGGTTTCAACGGAATAACAGGGGTCCCTGCAGGAAGATGCTATCTGATAGGAACAGTAACCTTTGCCAAGACATAAAAAGTCTGTGCCCTTGCTCCTGGGGAGGATCTGGGAAGACAAACACTTCAACAACACCCCCCTCCACTTTCCCACATTTCCTATAGACCAGAAACCAGAGAAGAAAGCTCATTGGTTTAAAGACACATCACCTTCCAGATCTTCAAAAGGGGGGGGGGGGGAAGAAGGTTGTTGGTGAGCTTGCTACCCAACATTCTGTCATTTCATTCTCCTGTGTCCACTAAGGTGGAAATTACTCAGTTGGATAAATGAGGCCTGAAGCAGATTCAATACAAACTTTTATATCCATTATTTTTCCTTTCCAAGGCACTATATTTAAAAAAAAAAAAAAACAGTACTTAAGGACTCCACTGTTTACTCTGATCACACATAAATTGCTACCATGTGTGCCCATAACTTCATTTATAAAATGGTAATTAACTTACCATGAGTAAAAGGTAACCTAGATACAGCACTTGTCACAGTATCTTGCACACAGTAGAATCTCATACCCAAAATAACGATGATGGTGAGTGATGACGGTATGATCAAGATGGTAGTGGTAGTGATAGTAACGGTGGTTCCTTCCAACCCCTTCTTCCTCCAGAAATCTGAGGGTGATGTTGGGAAATTTCAAGAGCAGAGTCAGAGATGGGACAGAGCAGACAATTCACCCCATCCAGATCATCCGCTACTGGAACTTCAGCCACACTGCCCCGCAGGATGACCTCATGCTTATTAGACTAGCTAAGCCTGCCACCTTCAACCAAAAAGTCCAGGTCCTTCCCATCGCCACCACCAATGTCCGGCCGGGCACTGTCTGTACACTTTCAGGCTTGGACTGGAGTCAAGAAAACGTTGGTAAGTGCACCTTCAGCAGCACGTAAAGCCTTTGGTTTCACTTGTGGAACATACATGTCCTTGGAGCCATGAGATAAAATGGAGTAGAAAATGGATCGGAGCCAATGGTGACGCTATAGGAGTGGTCTAGAAAAAGAAAAAAAAAAGCCTGTCTAGAAGCCCAGTACTTCTCTATTGTCGGGGTTTCAATAGACCCTTCATTGCCTCTGCAGGACTTTCCCGTGGGCCAACTGACGGCACAGAGACCTTATTGTCACAGGCACGATTACATTAAGGACTAAGAACACAGTGGTTCTAGTTCCCCGTGTTCATTTCACACATAAAAAACATCGTGAAGAGCCTGAACCAGATCACTTGTAGATACAGAATAGAAAGAACCCCGTCCGCTGTCCACAGCACAAAGGACAATTTCCCATTGGCAGAATGCTACTCTGTGTACCTTTCATCTGTAAAGTGAGGCTAATCGGCAGGGCTAACTCTCATGAAAGCACAGCTTTGTTCCTTTTGCTCCGTCCTTCTTCTCTTTAGGCATACTCAAAATAATACCCGCTGACGTACAGGAGGTGAGGATGAGGGACATGTAACTCATGAACTGAGCCAGGTGTTCTTTCTCCCTCAGGCAGGCACCCTGACTTAAGGCAGAATCTTGAGGCTCCGGTGATGACTGACAAAGACTGCCAGAAAACTCAACAAGGAAGCAGCCACAGAAACTCCTTATGTGTGAAATTCGTGAAAGTATTCAGCCGAATTTTTGGGGTAATCTTTTTGTCTAAGTTTAGATTTTGTTTACTTGTAAGTGTCCAATTGACTATTTCACCACAATACGTCTTAATTTCCAAATAATTTGTGAGAATTTGGTAACGTTATTGCAATGATACCTGCATCTTTCCAGCACAGTCTGCCTACAAAGGATATTTATTTATTAAAGAGCATCATGTATCCCTGGTTAATAACATATTGATAGTGTTAATTATCGTAAAGACAAAGAAAAAGCTATGAAAACAAGCATTGTTTTAAATTTAATTTTTTCTCTCCCTCCCTCCCCTCTCACTCTGGCAGGAGGTGGCTGTAGCTACTGTCATTTGTAAAGGCAAGCTCCAGGGAATTGAAGTTGGACACTTCATGGGAGGGGATGTCGGCATCTACACCAATCTTTACACATATATACCATGGATTGAGAAGACCATCAAGGAAAAGTTGAAATGATGCCCTGCTTTTCCCTCTGCATCCCATTGTCTCTGCCATTGACTAAAGGAATTCACACATTCCCTAAACTCAAATAAACTCTCCAGGTGGAAAGTCTGGGATGCAGCACACCGGGAGCGCGTGTCTTTATGTCCACACCACGTCACGATGGGAAGAAGGAATCTGTCATTACCTTATTCTTGGTTCTGCTCTCTATCATTTGTAAACTGTAAAAACCTTTGAAGTTGTCTTTTATCTCCCTTTAAAAATCAAATGTTGAGGCTAAAGTATTAACTGGTAGATAGCAAAGCTTGGAATGGAATTGGATGTGAAGCATCAGACTCTAAAATCCTGTGCAAATATATGACACAACCTATTGCAGGATTTGGGGGTAATTCATAAAAAAAGGGGTGACCCAGTAGGAAAACTCAGGACAGTTCCTTAAACTCACAAAAAAAGAGAAAGTATGCCCGAGGGAAGTTTCAAGACAGGCTTGCAATCTTTAAGTTTTGGCAGCTAACCACAGAAGACAAATAAACAGGGAACTGGAAATGCATGCTTCTTAGAGGAGAAGAAGTCAGAAATGGGTTGGTTCAAGCAGGGCCTATGAGCACCTAACCAAGGTGCTTAGGGTTTATAAATATACTACTCATTAAAAAAGCAGTCATTCCATCCCTTCTTTACCATGTCTTCAGGAGTGCCACTTTTCTTCCCACCATTTGACTTACACTGGTCTTTAGCAGGCAAAGCAGGACCTTTTCATCAGTGGAAGAGGGATTTCATAGCAAAGGAGATTCCCTGTTCTGTCCAGGTGCAGGAATCATATACTGTCTATATCAAAGGGTGATATAGATAGACCAACCTATATCATATATCACATAGCTATATGATAGGCCAACCCTGCCATTTGAAGCAGAGAATGTTATCCACAAAAAAGCCAGATTCTTTCATACTGATATTGACATGTGCCAAAGGGTAGCAGGGAATCAAATAGCTATAGAACAGAAGCCCTTTGCCCTCTCCATACCTTCCTGACTACCATGGCCCCTGAGCATCTCATCAGATGCTGGCTCCTGTTTTGTGGCTAAGGTCTCAAGTATCGCTAAGACCTGCTCATCTCACGGCTTCATGAATACCAGCATGCTACAGAATAAGACCCCAGGGGAAGAGAGAGAAGGAAACAGTGAAGCTCTAGGCCAGTGTCAACAACTGTGAGAAATCCTGACCATTCAAAAGGCCCAAGTGTTTTCAACTACTGAGATGATCATGAGGACATTTGCCTTATGTTCGATTAATGTGGCATACTAACTTTAAAGACTTTCCAATGGAAATAGCTTTTTATCACCAGAAAAAGTTTCGCTATGTGTGGTACCTGGTCCTTATACATGTTGCTGAATTCAGTTTTCTAGTATTCTGTTGACTATTTTTCTCTCTGTATTTATGTGCATTGTTGATATGTAGTTTTGTTTTGTAATGTCTTTGATTTTTTTTTATAAGAGTGAAATTGACCTCATTGCATGAATGGAAAAGTTTTCCTTCCCTTTTTACTTCTTAAGTGGATTTTAGAAATCTTAGCAATATTTGTCAGAATCACCAAGAAACCCAATTAATCTTATACTTTTCGTTGAGGAAATTTATTATTATATTATTCTATTTAACAGATCTTGTCATATACTTCCTATTTCTCTTGGTTTTTGTCTTGATTTATTTTTATCTGTGTTGCTGGGATAATATTAGTTATGTTAATCTTTTATTATAATACTGGAACCACCTGAAATAATTACTTTGAATAAGAAAAGATTTATTTTTGGAGGTTTTAATCCATGGTCAGTGAGTTCACTGCTGTGAGCTGAAGGTAAAACTGAAACATCATGGCGGAAAGGTACAGTGGAGGGAAGCTGCTTACCTTGTGAGCACTGGAGGAAAAGTGAGTGAGGGCCTGGGCCAAGATATAATCACCAAGCACACATTATCACTAATGTACTTCAACTAAACCCCACCTCCAAAAGTTACCAGAACCCTTCCAATAAAGCTGTCAAATTATAACTCCAACATGGATAAACGCAAGAGTCCTCGTGTCCCAGGAACTATCTAAACACCTTACCCCTCACATTGCACTTAGGAACATGTCTTTAATACATCAACCTCACGTAAGAACAGAGACAGGAGGGAGGGGCTCCATATCCAATCCTCACAGTGCTTAGGAAGGTTAAGCAATCCCCAGATTCTTATAATAAACAACTTGATTACAGTATATTACCATCTTCATTCAGTGTTGCATTCTATTCTAACACCTTGACCATATCTCTAACATCTTTTATATTTACATGAGTCTATAGTTTTCACCTCTTGTTTGTTTATGTATGATTTGGGCACTAAATTTCTTTGCTAATAGTGCTAATTTCTTCAACTGCTACAGCTGCTTTCTCCATACCTACCGTATCTTTAATTTTAAAGTCACTCAAACCTTCCTTCCTTTCCTCACCAAACTGAATGTTTTATTCCTGTTTCTCTCTCTTCTCTCTCTCTTCTCTCTCTCTCTCTCTCTCTCTCTCTCTCTCTCTCTCTCTCTCTCTCTCCTCTCCTCTCCTCTCCTCTCTTTCTCTCTCAATGTAAAAGAAGCAACAATGCCACAGCCTGAAAGCTACCCTGCCTGAAATATTCTCCATTAAACAAATTCATCCATTACCTTTTTTAATTTGCTCTCACTCAAGGTCTTAGGACATTGACAGAATGAACCTAGATTTTTTTTTTGTCAAAGTGCAATGAGTAGTTAATTCTGTAACAAAATGTAGCTAATCAGATTTAACAGAAAGAAATAAATTTAGGGTGACGTGAGATAATACCGCCTAAGGAATAGAATTCAAAAGTGGGGACTCAATTATTTAGACTATGACAGATGTGAGACTGCTTTGTGTTTTAGGAAGAAAACAACCCTGATCTCTATGCTAATCAATCAGATAGCAGATATTGATTATTATCATCTAGGTAGTGGAAGTAATCACAAGAAAATTAAAAAGTGTGAAAAATGTGATTGATTGTATGTAAGATGGAAGCTAATGATGATGAATGTACATTTTCTCTCTGTATTGTTTGAGCTGTTTAGTCATGCTCATGTATTACATTCTATCAATTCAAACATCTACTCTAAATTTATTCCACGTCAAAGCACAGCACATAGCTGAAAGAAAGGTCACATACACACTCACACACATGCCGTACACACATACACACACATCAGCTACAATTCTGAAAATGCAAAATACAAAAGATGTAATTACATAGGATTCAATTCAAGAACCAAGATTTGCCTCCAGATTTGTATTTTTGCTAATACACAAAACAGCCTTACACCTGTCACAAATTAAATCACCCAAAGAAGGGTAAGGAAGTCAAATCTCAAAAGGTGCATGGGAAAGAATACAATTTAACTGAGATATAATTGGCAAATTAAAAACTTTACATTTATATTTTATTTATGTAATTCATGAAATGACTGGCATAATAAAGTGAATTAACATTGTTTCACATGTTTTCCTGTGTATCCCCCGTCCCTCTCCCTAGTACCAAGAAAAACAAGCTCTATTCCCCTAGCATATCTCAAGTGTGTCGCAGAGAACTAACTGTGGACCTCATGCTGTATATCAGTTAGACCTGCAGAACCTAACCAGTCTGTCTAACTTAAACTTTATAGCCCTTGCTAAATATCTCCCTATTTTCCATCTCCTGACAACCACCGTTTTACTCTGCTTCTCTGGGTTTATATTTCAAATTCCATATATCAGAGGGTTATCTGTCATTCTGTATCTAGCCTATTAGAATATTCTCCAATCTTCTCTAGCAATTGTTGGAGATATACAGTTGAATAATATTCCGCTGCAAACTTATGTTGCCCTTTGTCTATTTATGCAATAGTGTTCATTAGATTGGTTTCACATCTTGACTATCTTTTTGTCATTAAATCATGCAAATTGGGATCATGGAAGAAACTTGAACTTAATTCTAAATCATAAAACATCATTAAATTTGAAATATAAATTGGTACTTCACATGTTTGAAACTATTAAAGTGCTTAATCATTTCACAGGATAATCCTAGTATAAGTTTTTGTGTATGCAAAATAACCTACTGTTGATGGAGGCTGCTCGTTTGTTTTCCAGCTACCCAGACCTGAACTAATCACACAGAAACTGTATTATTACAACATTACTCGGCCTATTAGCTCATGCTTCTTATTAGCTAGCACTTATAACTTTAATTAACCCATTCCTATTATTTTATATTTTCCCATGAGGCTCGTGGTTTATTGGCACTAGCACACAGACTTCTTTCTCCCTCAGCAGCTACATAGTGTCTCATTGACTCTGCCTATTCTCTTCTCCTTTGTTTGGAATTTCCATCTTGTCATATTCTGTGCTGTAACAGACCCAAAGAAGCTTCTTTATTAGCCAGTATTCACAGCATACAGAGAGGAATCTCACATCAACCCACGAAGATGTCAAGAGAACAAAACTAGAGTCCAAAAGAAACTGGAACTGTTTCATCTGTATTGTTTACCAGCTAGTGATGTCTTGGGTGAATCATGATACCAGCTTTGTCACCTATAAAGTAAGGATACAATTAATTATCATTATGCAGTAGGTGTTAAAATTATATATATATATATATATGTGTGTGTGTGTGTGGATATAATATTGTTAGCATGATTATAGAAAAATGACATCTATTTTAAAGGGACTAGTATGATAGACACTCATCCTATAGCTAAAAATACCACCATAAAAAAGTGCCCTTTTATTTTAAAAAGAATTGATGTTACCATCTCCAGAACACAGAAAATGATACCTGGCTCCATGTAGCTCCCAGTAATACCATCAGAGCCAGCCTTCCTTTGAATAGTAGCATCCACATGTGAATAGCATGAAATGATTTGAAGCTTTGGGTAAGAGAAAGAGAATGATAGAGAGAGTAGATTATGAAAGTAGGTTGGTGTAATTTGGTAAGTAGGAAAATGTTTAGTGGAATATTGATGTGGGAATCAATCTGTTGATTTCATTGGTTAATAAAGAAACTGCCTTGGCCCATTTGATAGGCCAGCCCTTAGGTGGGTGGAATAGACAGAACAGAATGCTGGGAAGAAGGGAAGTGGGTTAGATGCGATGAAGCTCTGACCCAAGATGGACGTAGGCTAAAATCTTCCTGGTAAGTCACCACCTCATGGTGCTACACAGATTATTAGAAATGGGTTCGTCAAAATGTGAGAGTTAGCCAAAAAGAGGCTAGATATAATGGGCCAGGCAGTGTTTAAAAGAATACAGTTTCTGTGTTATTATTTCTGGGCATAAGCTAGCCAGGCGGCCGGGAGCCGGGTAGCAGGAACGCAACCCGCTGCTCCTTCTACAGTATATCAGATATTACCCTTTGGGATTCCAGATCCCTGAGACGTGACCTAAAGAAACAAACAAGTACAAACAAAAATGAAAAAGAAAGCTGAGAAAGTAAAGGTCATAGAGAGAGGGATGTGATTTGCAGAATGAAGG